GGACCTGATAACAGGACGCCCACCTTACAAAGAGTTGCCTGAAAATGTGTCAGAGTTCGTGAAAGTGTTATCTGAAAAGATGGATGATATTCATCATCAAGTGCGTTCAAACTTGAAAACGTCTACTGATTCCATGAAGCTATGTTATGATAAGAGATCTACTGAACTCAGCTTTGTACCAGGAGACAAGGTGTGGTTGTACAATCCCAGAAAGACCAAAGGGAAGTCTCCTACGTTGTTTTATCCATGGGAAGGCCCATATGACATAGTGGATCGTCTCTCAGACGTGACTTTCCGAATAAAATGTGGTCGGCGAGGTAAGCCAAAAGTGGTGCATGCCAACAGACTTTGACGTTATCACAGTCCAAGTCATTTCAGTTGGAACGAAGTGAACAACAGAACAAATGACGCTGCTGAAGACGTGTCACCTGAAAAAGCCACTGTCAAAGAAGAAACTCTACCCAGTTTTGAGAAGGAAGACAGTGAAGCCATTAATGAAGTTACTACCACTGATGTGACTGCTACCAATAATGTGACATTTCCTGATGAAGCAGATGAACCCCACGTGAAGCAAAAACCAACGAGACAGAGACCAGTACGGAATAAGATACGTCCTGTAAAATTAAGAGACTTTGTTGTATTTTAATTTTGTGTTTGTAAATTTTGTACATTTAATTAAGTTATTGTTAATTATCTATTGGTTTAATGTAAGTGACTATTGTTTGGGACGAACAATACTAAGGAATGGGCAGTGTTACGACAGTGGAAGTCGCGTGACGCTGGGAGCATGCGCGCTGGAGTTTCTCGAAGGATCATGAATTATCAGGGAGGCCCGAGTTTGTTCGAGGCGCTCTCTTTTTTAGTATATAAGCCTATATGAGCATAAAAGTAATTAAGTTTAACATACGGATTGGAAATTCTGTGTACTACAAAGTTGTATCGAGGAAAAATGAACTGGTTTAATTAAGAAAGAACTTGTATCGCTGAAGTTCCTCGGAAATAATTTATATCGGAAATTAACAAACAAGCAGATACGTAACAATATTATGAGATTTAAGCAATTTAGTCTAAACATTTATGTTTCATGTTATAATCTGTAGTCATTCTAGAACGAAAGAAGTGTAATCTATATTTATTTCCTAATTTTTTATGTTGGTTACGAGATCGGTCCAGTCTATCGAACCTGTAGAGATTCATTAGTGAAAATATCAGGTAAAATATAAAGTTTTTCCTTAAGGAGTATTTGATAACTATCTGGACACTATAAAGATTTCGCATGTGAAATTTGAAATTTTTCTGATCATAAAAATATTTTTAATTTTAAAATGAAAATTACTTTGCATGTTGGATAGGCAAAATGGGAAAAGAAATATAGGTATGAGAAAAAAAAACAACAGTGCTTAACAAACCTTAAAAATTAATAAGAAAAAATTGATATTTTGCATGTGAAAGCATTGTGTTGTTAACTGATAACCTGCCAAATTTCGTTAACTATAACGAGCACTAAATGGTAATAAGGTTGATCCGACGGACCGTGCGCGTGCTGAAAGGGTTATATACCGAACTTACTTATAAATGTACTTGTAGAATTTCCTTGACAATCGATCAAGTAATTGAATAGACGCCATAACTCTCACTAGTGACACTGAATGATTACTTGGTATGAACTAACTGTATCACTGATTCTTGTATTTATATTGTTCTCGTTTTCTGGTTACTACAAGAAATTTCAAGATAATCAACTTTTATGAACGTTTTAGAATTGTGTCGTACGTCTTCTAGCAAACAAATATCTGAAATAAAATATTAAAAATATTGCTTACAAAATTGTTTTATAACCTCACCTGGTAAAGGTTTTATCCCCCTACCACCATAGACAGAAGCGTAACGTTTTGTGACTGTATGACACGAGTGAGCTGTTGTAAAATGAATAATACTCGCATTATTTTCAGTAAGTGTGGAACTTGGAAGATAAAGTGCAAGCAATTACTGCAAATAATATTGGTTTTGTAGGTTGTATATGTTTAGTCAAGTGGACCTTTACTACTTCTACCTTTGTGTACTTGTAGTTGTATTGTAGGCTAAACTCAGTAAACTAGTGAAACACTGAAATTGAAAGTAAACAACCTGATGACAAATTCCATTTGTTGCTTGAGAGCCCTACATTACACCTTATAATATCAATAATAATCTGAAAATATAATAATTAAGAGAAGGCAATGGAGTAAAGGGCCACACAACCCAGTTATTTTTTTAGTTATTAATATTATATCATACAAGAAAAAATGAAAATTAAATTGAAAGTTTATATATCAAAAGGTTTCTTTAACTTTACACTTTCATTTCAATAACCATTTAAAGTCTAAATTGTTCTGTGTGTAACTTTTTAATCAAAACAGAGTTTGACTTCAAAAATTTAATTAATGAGTAAGACTAAATTAAGCTCATATGTGAGAAAAAATTAGGTACTTCTAACTTTAAATGAAATTTTGAATTTGTTACATTTTTCACACTTATAAGAAAAATGTATAGGTATAACCTGTGGACAGCCTGAAACCATTTGATCCTTCAAGAATGTCCTTGCATATCCATCCTTGGGAGATGTAAAAATTTAAACCCACCCTCTAAATTTCAGGAAAACATTACAATTATGTATTACAATTTGCAGTTAAATGCTAGCCTTCACTACTAACTACTCATTTCTCAAGTCAAACATTGTACTTCAAATCACCTTTTACGTATTTTTCTCAAGAGAAAATAGATTGAGAAATTGTAACTTATTCTTGTTACATGTAGATAACCCATTCTTAGAATCATCCTGTTAGCTCTCTGATGTCTTTCTAGTAAGTCATTATCTTTTCTTAGGAAAGGACACCTAAACGGTATGCAATATTCCAATTAAGGCCTATAATTCATCATTTGTAAAAGAGAGGTGATTACCTCTTATTGTCTTGTAATCGGTATCTTGAAAAGTCATCCTGTTACACTGTGGGTAGTAATAAATTATAATAAAAATTCTTAAAACAATAGCATGTCATCACCTTCGTATATGCAATCAAAATTCTTTTATTGGAACTTGCATTTGACCTGCTTCAAGAATCATCATCAAGCATAATGAACAACATAAACAGCTTTAATTATACAAGTTTAAAAGAAAAATGCTAAGTGTGTTTCAAGACACCTATGGATGTTGTTAAAAATACACACAATTGTTATAAATGCAATGGTGAAGTTAAATAATATAGACTGTGCACTGAGAGGCTTAAGTTATTGTTGTCACTTAAAAAAAAAAATTGAAAGTACTACATAGCATTTAAACTTAAGTTACTGTGTTACCATGTTATAGTCAACTGGTATTTATTTAGTGTGTTTACTAAGTTTTTAATTTATTGAAAATAATAGATTAAAAACATAGTAAATACATAGTAAATTGAAAATAATAAATTAAAAAACATAGTAAATACACTAAATAAATATCAGTTGACTATAACATGGTAACACAGTAACTTAGATTTAAATGCTATGTAGTAATTTCAAATTTTTGTATTATACTAATTTTTTTATTAAGTGACAATAAACCAAAGTCTCTGTTAACCATTTCCTAGTGCCATACTGTCATTTTTTTCTTATATTTAAAAATTCTTTAATTTTTTGATGCCAACAGCATTTTTTTCCTGTCAGTGTTTTGAACTTCTTCAGTTTATGGTACATAACTACAATCTACATAGTGATTTGGATATTCCATATTTGTTTTGTATGGAATATAGTCTTGCATTGATGCATTGTCTTTTTTTTGTATTTAATGGTGAGAATGGTAGGTCAAAGGGACAAAATAATAAATTTTGGCATGTTGAGAGTCATCTTCAGCTGAGACAGCTTTATATTTGTAACAGGATGGTTAACCTTTGGAATGGAGTGCCTTCAGATGTGATCTATGCAGTAAATTTCATGGAATTTAAGGGGTATTTTATAAATATCTATATAATATGGGCTGGCTTTGAGAATGTTTTTTGTATTATTTTGTTCAAATGTTTAATGAAATTTAGTGAACAGTACATCCTCGATAAACCAACAGATCCCTTGTCTTTAAATGTTATAATGTGTAATGGTCGCTCCAGTTCAGCAGTGTTAATTTTCTTCATCCACAGGTTACTTTGTAAACTACATTTTTCTGATGTGTTAGAGGTGTTTGTGCTTTAATATTCATGAGTAAAGAGCGTAATGATGTAGGTGATTTATGAGTAATACTTTTACTTTTTTATTACACACTGTGAGCTATTACTGAGTCCTAGTGTATATGGGAGACTGTATGTTAACCATGGATCTGATTGTGTATTAGCAAACATTACTTATTGTTTAGTTGTTACTTCTTTTGAGAAGAGACAGGATAGTTATGTTTTTGAAAAGTGGTTTCCAGTATTAGTTCCACTTCAAAATGATCTTCATCACCTATACACCTAGCTCTTGTTGCCAGGTGCTTCAGGATTCTTTTTTTTTAACTGAAATTGGAGGACAAGTTATGAACTTCAGATACTTATTTGTCTGTGTGTAGGTTTTTGGTAAACATCGGTAGTTAATTTACTCACCATCATCGTCATGTGCTGTCTTCCTCAGGAAGGTTGGCTATCACAGTCCTCCACTTCTGTCTGTTCTGTGCTTTTTTTCACCAGGTCTTTGTATTTTGCTATCTCAGTCCACTCTTTAATATTTGTTATCCACTCTTGTTCTTTGTCTTCCCCTGTATCTTTTCCCTTCTCTTTGACCCTCTAGTAGTACTTGCTGGATATTATCGTACTATCATAGCTATATATCAGTACATCTAAAATAGGTATAGTTCCATTGTTCTTAGTTTTCATTGTAAATTATTTTTGATGTTTTGTTTGGATAGGAACTTGGAATGGTTTTTCTCTGCCATGTATGTCTTATACATTATTTCTCATCCCATTAGTTGCAACCTAAAATTGGATCATCGGAATGTGTGAAAAGGTCAGGAACAGACTTTGAAAATAAATAATATCTTATTTATTTAATAAGTGAAAATGTTTTTGCACCATGTCTACGTACTGGGTCGTGACTGGCCATTAATGTTTACAAATGGGTCCAGAGCACAAAAAAAAAGGTCGAGAACCACTGATCTATATAGCATAGCCAGAGTGTAATATCTTCTAGAGCTTTTGTTTCAAAATTGTACATGTAGAGTTGGCAAACAACTGGAAATATAGGTGATCCTTCTTTCATGGTGTAAACTTTATCACCCCATTTAAAGTTTATTGAATTTAAACAGAGATGTAATAAATTTTCAAATGAATTGATGCTCTTTCACCAAGATTAGTAGGTTTCGTTAATCTTTTTTAATTACAAATTTGGTAGCATCCTGAACATGGACCTAAAACTTTTAAAAAGAGTGAAGTTATGTCAGATGAAACAAGTAGGTTAATATCAGAGATTTGTTAAACAAAGTAGATTTTATAACAGAGAGGTTTTTTTCAGTGGGAAAGTGTAAAGGATAATCAATAATTTTCTGAAAAATGAAAGGGAGATTAATTTTTCTTTCTCTCGAGGATGGATGTGCAAGGACAGCCTTGAAGAACTGAATGTCCCCTTCTTTCATGCATATTATTTTTATCATTAACAAAATAAGAAAACTGTAAGTCTTTTTTTTTGTATACTTTTATCTAATATGGACTGATTATTAGCACCACTATTTTTAATAATGATATTGTTATTTGAACTGTATGTTCTGTGGGTTTTTCTGGCTTTGGAGAGATTCATGTGATACAGGAGCAGTACCATATGGAAGATGTGTGTGTTTGCTGCTTGGTGCCAGTTACCTAGCCACTTCCTAATAGAATAGCTTGGAGAACATGTAAGGGCCCTCAGGAAGTGACATATAGTATTTATATCCAAACACTGACATCCATTGTCACTTAGTTTGAAATTGGTCAGAAATTGTAGGCATGACAGGTGGACACAGAAATATATGAAACTATATATATAAGAAAGAGATTTCAAACTGCTTTATTGTGGGATATTAGATATAAATTGTAACAACTTTATATATATATATTTAGGACAGTTTCAACAAGATCTGCAGTTCTGCTTAAAAAGGAAAACTTATCAGTCCATCAAGAAAAGAGTGCTCAGTTCAGTCACTGCACCTGAGGTTTGTATGAATATACTGTTTCCATTCCAGACATCCCAGTAAGTTTGACCAAATTTGAAGCTGAGGCTTTTAAATGTATTCTCAAGAAATTTCAAGATTCTAAAATGTTTTATGCTTGAAGTACTTTATTGAATATCTGTTTTCATTTTGAAATAATGCATTAAAGAGAAAAAATGAAATGGATGATAATGATAAAAGAACACAATATCGTGTATAGCAATTAGTAAAAAACCACAGTAAACGGAACAAACTTTCATAAGTCTGATGTCAGAGGAACTAATATTTGACTTCTGACAGTTTGTTCCGTTTACTGTGGTTTTTCACTAAAATGGACAACTTTAACACAGTTTGCTAGCACTAAGTTCTGTTTTCAAGTGAATTTATTTCTTACCATTATTTCACTCCATTTGGTATGAATTTTGCATAGGCCAAGTAACTTTTGTGGTTTCATGACTAAGTTAGTAAACATAAACTATATTATACATATACTGAGACATCCGTCCTACATCGAGGAGCGTTAGGATTGAATACAGGGCTTGAACTAATAAATTAAATCAAGAATTTGTATTTATATGCATAATTCTTTTCACACATAATTTATTTTACACCTACTTTATTCCACATTACAGAAATCATGTTACAATTATGTTAATACATTTAATAACTTCTCTCTACAGCCTCACTGTTTGTTGCTAGTCTGAGTGATTCTTGATAGACCCATTAAAAGTTATTCCTCCTTCCTGGGCCAAAATAAAGATGTTTATTGGTGACCCTACTCTTGAACACCCAACATAGAATTGACCATATGAAAAGCAAGGGGTTTTCATATGTAGCCCTGCCACTTTACATGTCTGACCTTATGCTATTGTTGCCATCTTGTGGGGCAAAAATCTGAATGTTTGACATTTTTAATGAAAAAACCTCAAATTTTTCAAAAAATAACTAAATATAAAACTTTAGGAATAATAATTGGTCCGAGACAGTGAAGTAATTAGCTAAAGAAAAATAGGTTTTGTTGTGAGCATGGCCCAGGGTGGGTGAGGTCAAGTAATAACCATTGTATAACATGTCTTTTGGGTCCAATTTATCATCCTACAAAGTTTGGTTGAGATTAGTCCAAAGACCAGGAAGTACTTCACAGATAAACAAACATTTTTGTTTAACTTTTATAATTTAGATAGCTTGAAGTCCTAAATCAAAATTCTGGTGTGGGAGCCATTTGTAATTAATTACATTATTGATTAGTACTTTTAACCCAATATATTTAAATAACCTTCGAAATTACTCGAGGGCCCAAATTACCAGAAAGTATTTATAAACTCCCAGATTTCTTTGGAAATATTTAAGGTTTTTACAGTATTACACGAACTGCTTATGGTTAATCTATGTAAGTGATAGAATCATAAAAAAGTTGGAATTATGAACTAGTGTTGGACAATAAATTTGAGCTGTGGAAGCCTAGATGCAGTGTTAATAGTTGAAAATTTATATTATGGTTAGGGTTATTGACTTGTAGCATTGTTTACATAATATACAACTTGTGAGTTTAAAGATTATTTTGTTGTGATTTTGGTGTTTTGATTACACTTAATCTTCTTACTTATATGTATATACAATTATGCATGTCAGTGAATGTAACATTTTAATGGACTTGAAATACAAGAAAGATAAAGTTTAAGAATTTGTGTATATAAACATATAAAAATGTATCTTGAGAAAACAATGGTGTAAATGTAATTTAATTTGATTATTCTTCCCACTCACCCCCAAAAGAAGGGGGGGGGGTCTCCATTTCAAGATCTGGAAATCTGAGTATTTCCCAATTTTATAATTTGAAAATATGTTCACCCTAATGATAGTAGTAGAAGTAATAGTATTAAAAGTATCTTATTTACATTGATTACCTGATGTTTTAGAATCATGATAAAAACTTACACAATAATTATTAATAATAATAATGTAAAAAAACAAAAGGCATTGTTGCTAGCCAGTTACCTCTCTGTCTTAAGAATGTCATTCAGAATTAGAGATTGCACTGATAATTGTGCTGTGACAGGACACCACAGTTGGAGAGCCTGTACTTTGGCCAGTACTAAACTTATGTTAAGGTATGTAAATAAATAATATGTAGGTACAACAAACAAACAAAAATAATATTCAAATGCCATAAGGTTGGCATTTCAAGATAACTTTAATAAGAAAGCTGTGTTTCAACACAGTATTTTCACTCATAATTTAAAAATGTTGATATGTTACATATTTATGATGTTTTTATAAATGGGTTATTTTTTAACAATAACATTGATTTTGCTTCCAGGAAGAACTGATTAAGAAGTCTATTAAAGAAAAATTGCTAAAACATTTTTGGGTAAGTCATTAAGAATATTGTTTTGGTAGAATGTATATAATTGTAGTTGTTTTTAATGCTGAAAACATATTAGTTAATTTACAGTGTACAAACATCTTTCAGATATTTTTAGCATTATCATACCCTAGTTTTAATTTTTTGTATTCTGTTAGATGATTTATTTCTCATATTTGTTAATTTTTCTAGCCTGTTTATCTAGACGTCACCAATGAAAGTAGTAAACACAACGTACCCAAAGGTAAGTTTAAAGTTCTGGGTGCATGCATTCTAGTATCTTTGCTGAATAGAAACCAGATGATGCCTAGTAAAATCTGTATATCTAAAATGTATCTAATATGTATAAAGTGACCATTTTCTTGGTATCACTTTTAAGCAAAAATTTTGTAATAACTCTATTCTTTCAGCATAATGGTCTAACTAAACAAACATTTTAAGTTTTTTCTTTGATCTAACTCAGAATACATGGTGCTACTTTATTTTGTATTATGTGAAAGTCCTTACCCATTTTGTTTCATGCATGTTCTGCTAATGTTATTGTCTTTAGTTGACTACATTTACTCCTTTACCAGACTGCTTTTTCGCTTCATAGTACAGATTTTAAACAATTGTGTTGTATGAGTTTTGATAGTATTTTAAAGCTGTTTGTTTTGAAACATGATACTCTTCCCCCTTCTTCCTTATGTTCACTACTGGTAAACTGATTGACTTAACTGCTGTTGATACTATGTATAGCCCTCTTGGTACCAAGCTGTTCAAAGAAGTAATGATTTAGTTCAGTCTAATTAGAAAAGGATTATGAACATGCTTAAGAACTGTTACACTAGCTTCCTTGTGTGCTTAGAGGTGTCAGAAAAATCAAGATAAGTTTGGAAGTAGCATACAAAATGTTTGGTACAAACCAGTCTTGTTATAATATGCTAACAAGGAAATGGCAGTTGTAGAGTAAGAGTTAAGTATGTTTTTGAATAAAAATTTTTACTCCGAAAATGCATTATTTGTCAAGTTTTTACCATATAAGACTGAGTAGTTTTTTTTGTTTTTTTTTTGACTGTCTCTAGGTTCAGAAACTCACTTTAGAGTCTGCATTGTATCGCATCAATTTGATGAACAGTCACTTGTGCAGGTAAATTTTCAAACATGGAACAGTACATGCAAAATTGCTGTCATGCTGTAATTTTATGTCTTTTTGAAATGATAATGCAGCACTAAGTTTTATGTTATTCACAAATGGGTAGATGTAATGAACCTAAATGCTTACTGTATTCCATTTTTGCATACAAATGTCAAGTTTGAAGCAATACTGTTTTTCTACAGGGTAGGCCATAGTGGATATTAATTCCATTGTTTTTCATGTGGGGATTTTTACCTGATGAAGTGTACAAAACAAATCGTCCAGTTTGGATATCCTTTGCCAATGGATTCTAGACCTGTTGAAAAGAGTGTATGTGCCAGTTGGTATTAGATGTGATAATGGTGGTGAACATTTTGAATATTTATAAAGTTCAACTGATTTAGTGATCATGAATATGTAGCTTAATCATGAAGAAAGATTTGTTTCTTTATTCGTAATTTCTTTTTCTGTTACTTGGGAGGGGGTTGCTATTGCCCACTTCATGTATTTGTAATACATGTAGAGCAATTTCTGCAAGGTTTTGATTTTAAATTGGTGATTATTAGTGTTTAGTAACTTTAATATAAGACTAACCAAAAAATACACACTGAAAAAAATTATCTTGTAATGTTTATCATTTATCCAAATTCTAGGTGCAAAAACTACCATCATTGTCATGTAGGCTGTGATGCACTATATTGTTACGTTTCTGTTCGTTTGTTAATTTCTGGTATAAATTCTTTCCGAAAAACTTCAGCGATACAAGTCCTTTCTTAAATAAAACTAGTTTATTCTTTCTCAATACAACTTTGCAATACGCTTAATTTAACTTAAACATACGCTATAATTCACATTGATTCACACACTTTACCTACGGTCACTACCGCGTTTGACTCAGTTGTCCGTCTCTATCTCTGCCTGTCTGCAATTCAATTCCGATTAATTGTCTCGCTTTATCTGTCATGCTTATATACAGGAATAGAGGGTGTCTAGCAAATACTGGATTATTCATGATGTTCTCCGATCCTTCTAGATACTCATTACGTGTTACCAGTGTCACGTGACTTCCGTTGTCGTAACAATATTATACAATAGGTGTAGTATAGACTGTGAATATTAACATTGGTTTAGTCAAGGTGGGTTGTTGTACTGAAGTATGAAATATTATTAAGATTATTTACAATGTTCTCTTATAAGACTGTTATTTGGAAAGTCATTTTATGATACATATATTTTATTAGTTAGTATAAAGATTATAGGAGATGCAAGGACATGCGAACAACACATTTTCATCTTAATGTTTGTTAAGAAATTTTCATTTACAGTTTTTTCTTTTTAAACATAAGTTTCCAATTCTGATATCTAACTCTTATGTAATGATGACTCAGTACCATAGGGTGAAACATTGTAATTATTAAAATTAGAACTTGCCTAATGTTGAATTTGCTGTTATTGTATTTTTTAATTTGTATTCCATTTCAGTAGGTTCCTCACTAAATTTTAATTTCATAATTTAGCATTTTATTTATTTATAGGTGATCATCAGTGTTTTATTATTATAGGATTTTGTATATTCTCAGCATTCGTGCCTCAGTATTATTTACCTTGTTTTAACCACTTACACATAGTTGCTCAAACAAAGATTATGATCCCCATCCCACCACACATGTTCGCCCTTTCAGCTGTGGGGGCATTATAATG